CTGATTTGTTGGCCAAATAATCCATAGTCATCGTCCCTGACCATTTTCAGAAATCCAGTTCACCAATAATGAACAAAACAACAAATGCAGTGCCTTCCAGTCATCCTTCTCTTGGGAAGAGATAAATAATAAAGTAATCAAATATGGAGAAATGCAAAGCAAAGAAAAGAAATGTGTTATTACTTAGGCTGGGTAGTTAGGAAAGGTGACATTTGAGCCAAAAACAAAGGAAGGAATTATTTGAAAATCTCTGTTGGAAATAAATGTCCCTGGGCTCCTTGAACACTTTGTTTTTTACCAGTTTTTAGCAGCCACTCTTTCTGATCCTATCATTTAGATTTTAAGGGGAAATAAGAGTTAAATAAACTGAGTTTTAGAAAAAGGTTTAACTTTTGTGAAGGAGGAATTACATGACATTTTTTTCTTTGCAAAGTAACAATCATCAATGTTTAATTACTGGCTAGTCATCATTTACATATTACTCAAATATGCATATTAAGCACTCACAATCAACACTTAACTCAAGATTCCTTCACAAGAAGGATAAACATAACGCATCCTATTGAGCACTAGAAGAAATTGCTAGTTGTCTACTTGCTATTTTCTCCATCTGAGCTGATAACACAATCCCAGTTTTAGCTGAGTACACCATAATCTGAAATAGAGAATTTATTTCCCAGCCTCCCTTGCAGCCAAAATGGCCATATAAAAAGTTTCTAGGCAGTGAAAAATAGCTGGGAGTTTTGAGTGGAACCTTCAGATGACTCCTTCAAGATGCTAATATGGTTTATCTACATATACATTGCATTGTCCCTCTCAGCCCTCTTCCTTGGCCCTGGCATTTAGATATGATGTCTGAGGTCTATTAAATTATTGTTTCAGTTCCTCCCTCCAGTCTTTATAGATTTAGACAATCAATCTGTGTTGTAAACTTTCTGTTACTATGACAAAATATCTAAGATAATATACTTTAAAAGAGGAAAGATTTATTTTGGTTCAGTTTCAGAGGTTCCAAACCATGATCCCTTGGCCCTGTTGCTTTGGGCTTATAGCAGCATAGTACAGCAGGACAGCAGCATATGACAGAGGAAATCTGCTCCCCTTGTGATAGCCAGGAAGCAAAGAAAATGACAGGAAGGTATTGGGCCCCAATTTCCCTTCAAGAGCACAGCTCCATGACATAACTTTCTTCCCATAGGCCCTACCTCCTAAATATTCCATCACTTCCCAATAGCATCACAGGCTGGAGACCAAGCCTTTAACCCCTGGACCTTTGGGGGATGCTACCAAATGATATTCCCACTTTTTATAGTATATAGAGTGTACTTATCTCCACCTTTTAGTCTGGCCATCTTACTTCAGCCAATGGGATGTTATTGGACTTAATGTGAATAGAGGCTTATAATACAGTCTCCTGGTTTCATTCTCTTTGATATGCTCTGGCCCATAGGGATATAGCGATCTGAGGAAACTATGGAGAAATGGGCAGCAGGCCTACACTTCAGCATGTAGCTGAGTTAAGCCAGTCTCCAGCAGATCTACCCCAACAGAACTATAAATCAAGGGGCGAGACACTGTGTTTGGAGCTGGTTTGTTACTAAGGACTACGCAGCAAAAGTTAGCTAACATGATGTCAGATGATTGGCTGGAGCTCCAATGGCCTTCTTGGGTCACATGGCAAACTTTAAAACAGAAAAATAGAAGATGTCTGATTCCCTTAGGACATCATGAAGTTCCCAGACCACCTTTGAACTAGTAACTTTGAACTTCTCTCTTACAAGAAATAAATCTTTGTATGGTTACACCGCTATAATCAGAATTTTGTGTTACCATCCATGAAATGATCATTTGTATCAATCCCTCCAAAAAGGAAGCATTTTATTCTCACACTAAGAGAAACACTGAACACACACATTTACAATCATTTAAATGTAAAATAGAAGACAGAAAAAGAACATCAGAAAAAAAGGAGCATCACTCTTGCAGTGAGCCGCTTTCTTGGAACTCTTTTGGCATAGCTGCAGAAAATGGAGCAATAGTCATGGCGGTCTAGCCAGGGTGTCAGGGCTATTTTGGCTGTGGGTGGGCAAAATTTACTCTAGTGGCTCAGGTTAAGTGTCAGGGAATATGGACATTTTAAGAATATTTGAGAAATCTCAGTGACATCCAAAAGCAGTTTAACAACCACCTCACAATCTCACTTAGTATCCCACACATTTACTGCATCTCAGAGTCCAATTTCTTCAGGGAAAGAGCATAGGTATACCAGCTTATTTACTCTAACTGAGCTAATTAGATCATTGGCCAACCACTGGATTAAATAATTTGGAATATATCATGAAATACTACTCTGCTATAAAGAATGACAAATTTGAGACATTTGTAGGAAAATGGTGCGCCTGGAGAATACAATTTTGAGTGAAATAAACCAGAAATACAAGCTTAAATACCATATGGTATCTCTCATTTGAGTGAGGCAAAACACAAACAAAGAGAAGAATAAAGATGGATAGAAGAGAACAAGGGAACAGATCTCTTGTGATATGAAAATGGCCCAAGGGAACAAGGATGAGGGGGAAGAAGGAGAAGAAGGAGAAATAAGGAGAGTAAAGGTAATTATGTTCCTAATAACCTTGATGAATGTAAATATATGCCATAAAACAAGCTAGGATTAATAATTTCAACAGGACTGAAATTCAAAATAGGGGAAATAGAGGAGAAGAGGGGAAGGGAAAGGGAAGGGAATTTAAAAAAGAAAGAAACAAGCTGTGGTATGTACATGTAACCACTTCCCAAGATGATTGCAAAATGCGCGTGCTGCAAACACGTACTAATAAAATAAAAGTTTAAAAATGCTTTGGGATAGCTATCCATTTCTGGTCCAAAGAGCATTGCGCAGAGGGAAGGAAGGCAGAGACAGAAAGACGAACTAACAGTCGTTCTAAAGTGCACAGGGCATTTTAAGCCTGGGAGGAAAGTTGTATAAGGCAGGCAAATTGACTGGCATATCTAGGACATCAGTTAAGTTTTTTTGTTGTTGTTGTTTTGTTTTTTCTAAGGAAAGAGCTAGAACCATTTCTGGGATGTCACGCCTGAGCAGGATACTGCTGTGTGATTAGAAAGATCATCAAGACTCCACGAGAAATTTCCCTAGTGACAGAAACTCCCCAGGATGACTCCAGATGGAGATTCTGAGAAAGGAGTGAAATTCAGAATCTTCTAAAGCATGTCTTACATCCTAGTACATTTCCAGTGTGTTTTCCTCAGTCTTTTCATTACATTTATAGGACACTTACGTTCCTCTCCACCTGTCACTGTCTCCCTCTTTCCCTCCCCAAGTAAACTTCTGGAGAGATTTCTTCATGTTTCTCATCTGTGCTCACTCACTTCTGCAGAGCTCCTCAGACTAATTTGTTTCCTTCTCTGTCTGCATTGATGCTTTAACTGCTAAACTCAGAACATAGATCTGTCATTTTTTCCACCTCACTGCAGTTATGACTAGTCTTGAAACTCACTTCTCTCCTGTCCTGACTCCCTTAGCACCTTTCCATTTTGATTCTACCCACCCTTCTCAAAGCAACATTTTTACTCATTTGTGAATCTCTCTTCCTTCATTAAATACTTAAATATTGTTATTTCTCAATATTTTATTCTTATCTTTCATAGTGTGTCCCTGAATGACCTTATCTGATTCCTTGTTTTTAGTTTCACACTGATCTTGTCTCATCTTTCACAAG